CCCTAGGTGCCGCCGACCTTCAGAAAAAATGGCTACCCTGCCTGCTGAGAATATGGGTGCACCCCGAACTCCATCCCCACCCCCCCAGCCATTGGGATATCCCCCACCAGGACCGAACCTGGGTCTCTCCCAACCTTCCTCCCTAGCCTCCGCGCACCTAAGCCCACAGCCTAGCGCACTACACGACATGAATTATTATCTCACCGAGGGGTTACAAAGTGTGGAGCACCAGCAATTCCGCGATAATAGGTCTTTCATAAGGGCCATTGACTCACAAGTCAAAAAATTATGTTCCGGCAAGGCTGGCCAGTACCTAGTATTTGCCCCTGTGACGCAAGACCAATTTGTGGCGATCGAGCGTATGCGCCAAAACCACCACAAAGGAATCCGCTTCCACTACTTCAACCGTGAAGAGACATTGATAGTCAAAATATTTGCTGGCCCAGTTCAGGCATTGGTGGGCTGTGGATTCGGAACCAGGTTGGATGTGAAGATAGGTGGAATGGGGCTAGTTAGTTATATTTTCCGGATGGACACCGCCACCTACAAAGGGAATGGGAGCCAAAAGCAAGCGAATATTGCCTGGAAACCTTGGTCACCCGACCACGGTGTAGCCGACTGGCCAACCGTGGTCGTCGAATGTGGAGTTTCCCAATCCCGTGATCGCTTGGAGGTCGATGCCAACTGGTGGTTCGAGAACTCCGATGGACAGGTGAAAATAGTTTTCCTCATTTCATTCTCCGAAGAGAAGAAAGAAATACATTTGCAGCAGTGGGAATTGGTCACCGCTCCGGACTCACATGTTTCTCAGGCCGAACCTACAGCCACCAGCACTGCCCCAACAATAGTGTGCGAACTTGACCTCACCCCAGGCGTACCGAACAGAGAGTCCTTGATGCTCAACTTCGAAAGAGTCTTCCTTCGCCCGCCCGCCCAGGGCGAGGGCCATCGCGAAGGGGATATTACCTTCTCTCCAGAAGAGCTTGAAGAGTACGCTATTCATGTGTGGAATCATGCCCAATGACGCAAATATTCGATCTAAATATTGTATGCCAACCTTGCCCTGCTGCTGCTGAAAGCTGCGTTCACTGCTAACTGCCTGAACTGCAGAAGGGGTAGAGATTGGAGGGGGCACCCGGGCGAATAGGTGATACGGTAGATAATAGATCAACGGTAGCTTTGTTAGCCGTTAGCTTGGGCGGAGGCACTAGGCAGGGTTTCAAAAAGTGGACCTTTGATTTGCTTCTTTTTTTCTGTACAGCAGTCGCATATTAGGTAGGCCTTTCTACAGCGGTCGTCAATAGAATTGCCCTTGTTGCCAGAACAACTGCACCGACCACACCAAATCTGTGTGAGTGCTGAGTGGCTCCACTATGCTCCGATCACGAAACACTCAATAACACAACCACCCAAATTCACACTCCCCATTGATTGGCTTATTGAGATGGATTACTAATATTTAGCCAATTGGGAGCGCAATCAGAGCAAATGACTATGTGGGGGGGTTGTGCATTTGAGTATTCCATGAGTGTTGGTCTTAGGACAAAATCTCAAGATATAGCATATCTTACAGGACGGGAATTGAGCCCTATGTTCAATTAGCCGAAATGTTGTCAAGAGAACCACAAACATAATGTAAAAACGGGCGCTCTGGAGTCATCGCTAAGGGCCTGTTCGGTTGAAACGGTTCCGTTCCGTTCCCCCATACAAATCGTCCTTTTCCTTCCGTTTAAAAATGGAGTGCTGACCATTTTCACAGCAGAAACGGTAGCCCAACGGAACGGTCCTTTCCAACCGAACGGGCCCTAAGAGACAAATTTTCTCACATGTTTAATACTTACTCCTCATCTAGTCGCGCCTACCCTCAGCGCTCGTACTGAATTCTGGGGCAGTCCATGATGTCAAAAGGGAGATGTGACTGAATGGCCTAGGTAGGTTACCTTACTACACACATCTCGACAAAAAAAAAAAAACTACTATTCAAACAAACATTCCCTCCCCTCTTCAAATCAACCGTCAGCTCATTGAAAAATGCACAAAGCATGTCCGCTATCAATCACTTAAATTTTTAAAAAAGACGGAATCTTACAACTTTCACGAGCAAGGTCATTCACAAGTATTTTCGCGGTAGGGTGTTTCGTTCTTTTTTTCTTCGCTTCCTCATCTTTCTCTTTCCTAGGAGTTCTTCAATGAGTGTGCTTAATTAGTGGCGGGAGAGTCTATTCGGCAATGGGTGCTTGAAAGTGATTAGGTGTCCGAGAGAAAATCTACTATGCTAGCTTGCATGAAGGTTACCCTCTTGCCTTTGCTTCCGCGTCCTGTTACTTACACCCCCTTTTTATTCTTCTTTCCTTCGCCTTTCTCTTTTTCCTTAACCTTAATCGAGAACATCTTTTCCCTCCTCCCAATTCCTTTCCTGCTTCCATCCGATGATATTTCTAACAAGTAGCTTACCAGAAAACAGGAACTAAGGAAATATGCGGTGAAATATCTGCACCAATCCGAGCGCCCGTGCGAAATATACTCCTATCCTTTGGGGTTCCTTTTGGCAGAAGACGAGCAGCGGTATGGGTACTCACACCTCCCAGCGTATCGATCTCTTTACGAAAACCAAACAATCCCCCGAAAAATCCCTGGACAAAAAATGGATCAAACTTCCCAACACCCTGGACCGCCCTCCCAATAACCTAGTGAACCCTTGGTAAGAAAAATAAAAATCGGACTCTGGCTACGCAATCCCAAATTGGTAAGTTTACCCCCGCTGAGATATCACACTTACAGCAGATCATCTCGCCGGACTCGCTTTGATCTCGCTCTGTGGGAGGGCAAGTACGTGACCGCGCTGTACATGAACTGTATAGTACGGTATTGTACTTGCTCTCCCTACCGATCTAAGGAAGCCGGGAGTGAGCGATTGGAAATTCGGCGCACCCATCCAGCACCGACCTGAGTAAACTTCTACCGGTAGTGTGTTTCCCTGGGAACAAAAAGTTTGGGGTAGTTGCAGCGACGGGGAGTGTCGATCATGCTCTGTGGTTACGGTAGTTATGTTAAAGACGTTGAGTGCCGTCCTGATCTGGGGATTGCGGCGGGTATGCCCGATGTTGTCATTAGAATCTAGATAAGCGAGCAGCGACTGTGCTTTGGATGGGGTTGAAAGTCCTGAAACGGTAATAGCCAACTGCCGACTCCACAGCGCAAAAAAAAAACGACCGAGAAAACATCAGAAAAATGACAAAACAGCTCCTGTGCAGGAGATCCCAGGGCACTCAGTGGAATGGTTTTCATAGCTGTTATCCCAGCGTCTGGTCTGCAGTTACTAGCCCAACTGTCGGTTGCCGATTCCAGCACTTAATTTCACCCCAAGTACTGTAGTATTATTCGTATTATTCACACAGTACTGGTACAGTAAGTGGTGAGCGCAGGTAACTCAACGGCAAAGTCACAAAGCCAAAATTACTAAAGATAAAGAATGATTCTGAAGGAAGGAAAGAATGATTGAATATTTCATAAACTAAAAGGCTACTCTTATCGTCAAGTTTCCCCAACCCCCTGCAAATCCATATATCCAGCTACTTCCTTCAAACCCTCAACCTCCTCCATAGCTCTCACACGCCCCTCCTCTATCTTCTCAAACACCTCCCCCCAACAGGCAAAACCGCGGGCACTCCTAACCCCCCATCCCCCGCCAAAACTTTGACAATAACATTACCAGCCTTCACCGGACCCCGAAGCTGCCTTCCATGAAAGGCACTAAACCCCTCTTAATCTCCCCAAGAACATCCTTATACTCGTTGATCCGCCCCGAACAGCAAGCCGATGCCCCTGACCCAAAAATAGTCCTAAAATAACCCAACATGACACAGCAAACCTCAATCCTGCGGGCGGCAACCTCAGCCCTCAATACTTCGGTAACGGCTCTGAGCGCAGCCTCACTAGCGCAAAAGTATTCCGCGGCGGCAGCTCCCCAAAGAGCGCCTATGCCTGCGACGTTAGTGACAACTCCCGCTCTGCGAGCGCGAAAGTGAGGGAGGGAGTAAGGCGAGCTCAAGGTTTATCGGACCGAGAAGGTTGGTTTTGTATGAATGCTCCGTTTCTTCCTCTTTCGTTTCCTCCACCGAGCCTTCGAGGAGGTAGCCTGCTACGTTTACTAGTGTATCGATGTTTTCGTGCTGGCGGAGGACTTCGGTTACGACGGATGCGTTTTCAGAGTATGGGGATGTTAAATATAACTTTAGGGTAGTGGCCCCGCAGGTTGTGAGGTCGGAGAGATGAGTTTCTGGGGTTCGACTGGTGGCTATGACGGTGTCGCTGCGGGAGAGAGCGGCCATGGAGATTTCCAGGCCGATGCCCGAGGAATGACCGGTTATCAACCAGGTTTTCGGCATATTTTCGTGTTCTTTTTTCTTTTCAGCTCAATGACTATAAAATGATAATGGAGTAATGGATTAGAAAGGTGTCGAGAGGATAAAGACATATAGATGATTGATGAAATTAGGATGTAGAGAGAAAGAAGAAGTAGCACCGGGTAGGGTAATACCGTGCTGTATCTCATGATATTCCACCTTTCTTCACTACAATTTCGGGAACTTGAATTCTTCAAGAGGTCATTCCGCAAGTCAATATCCTTCCGCAATGCTAAACTGCGGTGATATACATGCCTTACCAATTTATCGATTTCCGGAAGTAGAGTAACACCCCTTCCTTCCCATCGTTCTCGAACATCTATACGTCACATTCATGAGCACCGGGTTAGAAAAATACTCGCTTCTGTGGTTGCTGATAAAATTTGACTTCTATAATGGTCTACATACAACATGATTTTCCTTACTATGTCGCATGCCGTCCACCTCCGGTTGGTTTCCCCGATTCTTAGAAACAGCAGACCCAACACTGGAATAAAGTAAAAAAATTCTTGAGCTCTATTGTACCGTGTGGCCTGTAAAGTCACTAGGTTCGGGTATGGTGGAAACGTAGGAGAAGACAGGGGAAAAAAATATCTCTTTAGTAGGGAATTGAACCTCGGTCGTCCACCCTCAAAGTTATTTGACAGGCGGAAATACTAACGACTAGACTACCAAATATCCTCTCGCTCGTGGCCGAGCTCCCCTGAGAATCCAGGTTGCACCTCGACAAGAAGGTTAAAGTGCAGGTCTTTTCAGCACAATCACCCTGCAGACAATTCTTTCTTCAAAGTGCAGAAGGAAGTCACCGCGGTATACGGGCGCTAGCCTGCGACCTGAAACCCTAGGTCGCGCAACAATCATAATAACAATCCTAACCAACAATTACATACCAAGAGGCAGCGAAAGAAGGAGAAAGGAGAAAAAAAGAGGTACGGTACCCCCGCGAATGAAGCCAAAATTCTTGTTGGATTTTTTTTCCTTTCTCTCTATACATCTACGGAGAGGATCCGATTTGGGTAACAGAGAATCATTTAGGTGACAGCTGCGGATATAATTGCTCAATCACGGTTTTGTCCCTCATCCCGCGGCAGCGGTGGATGGTACCGGTGACGGGCTCAATCACTACTGCCCTTTAGTTGGATGGTGGGATGCGCGTGCCGTATCCGACCTCGCTGGTGTTACAGTGACCGTCTGCTAAACCCGACGATGAACCGGCAGGGAGTTGATTGGATGATGACCTGCTGCGCCACACCAGTAGACACCATGGAGTTATGGGAAGTTATACCTTGGTGCATCGCGAGGGTTTATAGCAGGTACATTTTTCCTACGAAATGAGAAGGTACTGTTTGTCTGATTGAGAGAACTCGAGTATGGATTCCAGGCACTCCCATGCTACCAAGCTGGGAGACTCATGCGGCTCTTTCTAATACAAACATGGGCAGTCTTGGCTCACCAATAAGGATAGACCAGATCCCTGATCGGCGGGCCCAAGCGATTGCCGGTACCTGTGTGGTGTAGGGTTATCATAGGGTAGTTTTGGCAGTCGGGAGAGCATTTGAGCGTCCACTAAACACCATACTTTGTATATAGTCTAGGAGTGCCGGGTTCACAATAGAAAAAACAAAAAGGAAAAACGGAGAGAAATCGATCCCCTAGATAATAAGGCATGTGGCTGTTATCCTTATCGGTTGCCGCCATGCATCCACCCATAGGGGTAAGGGTTATTGGAGAGCTGGAGCAGTCGCTATCATACCTGGAACGCGTCCCGTAGCGAGATCTGTATAAACCACCCAAGCTCCACCTTGTTTTCCATCCCATCAAGTTCTAGAAGCGATCCAAACCCACCATGGTGGCTCAGATCCTCACACAAATCCGCAGTGCGTTTAAAACTCGCAGGTGCGAGTCTCTGACGTTTACGGAACTTGATCCATCGGTATCCGCTGAAATTCTAAAAAACATTCTCGGCCAGAAAGATATCTGTGCCCTTAAGCTAAGGTGAGTACAAGAAGGAGGGATAAAGTTTCCATACAGCAATGGGTTTATTTTGCGGGTTAACCTAGATTGACTATTAGGATACTTTATCCTATGCCTTCTATATGCCCATTAGGAGGATGAGTATACTAACTAGGGGTTATAATTCATTTCATTGCACCAGACAGATACCTGCGAATTGTCATGGCCAGTGGTCTTCACGAAACGGGCGTTGACTGGATGAGAACACAATATACTTTGTGGATCAGCAGTGGACTCCTCACCCTAAGCGCCATCCTCTCCATCAGTGATGCCCTGAGTGGTAAGTCTCTTAGTTCAGTTATATCAAACTCCCAAGTCTATACTAATAGTTTTCATAGAATACGATAGTTTCGTTGGTGTCTTCGAAGGCTCCAAAAAGATACCGGACTTGTGTTATAGTCCTCGGGTGAACGGGGTAAAGACTGAGTTTCCCACTATCGTGCTCGAAGTCGGCTGGAGTCAGTCCGAATCTGAGTTGAAACGCAATGTTCAACTATGGCTGGAAGGGTCTGCCGGGGCGGTTCGGGTGGTCCTCTTATTCAAACTATTCTATCCGAATGTTCACAATGAAATTAAGGCAACTCTCCACCTTTGCCGTCTTGCAAACAATGTTGTGATTCTGGATACTTATGTATTCTCTTCCTCACCTTACCATATCTTTCTCTTTGTTACATCCAACTAATCAACCCACTTATCTTACAGAATATCTTCCCCTCCGAGGGTGTAGGTAATCCGTGTCTCAGTGCAGAAGAACTATTTCGCGGCCAATATCCCGATGGCGTACCTCACGATACCATTTTTCCGTTGTCATTGCCTAGCCTTCGCTATCTCTATGGAGAAGAGATCCGTGCGTAAGGACATCTCCCAATGGCTTGAGATAGTCGGTGTTACTTACACGGGGGACACGAAGTGGGTTTTGTAGTGCTCGGGAATTGTTCTCCTGTCTTTTCTCCTGCGTCCTGTACTTAGAATTAACCTCTTCACTTTTTCACTTTAATTCTCAACTCCCTTCAGTGATCCCATCACTGGCACCTATTGTAGCTTGGTTTTCAGCACTCGAGGCATATTCGAGTGTTAAAGTATTCTATACTATAGACAGGTACAGTACAACCCCTAGTCTACTACAGTTGTTTGGCTCCCGGAAGATAAGGTTCGCTCACTCCATTAGCTGCAGCGGTAGCCTCACCCACGGGGATTAATCACTTCCCTGGTAGGATTCTACGCCAATTTTACTCTATGCGATGACTATGGAGTAGGACTTTCAACCCCATCCAAAGCATAGTCGCTGCTCACTTATCTAAATTCTATTGATAACATCGGGCATACCCGCCGCAATCCCCAGAGCAGGACGGCACTCAACGTCTTTAACATAGCTACCGTAACCATAGAGCATGATCGACACTTCCCGTCTCTGCAACTACCCAAAACCTTTTGTTCCCAGGGAAGCAGACTACCGGTCGAAGTTTACTCAGGTCGGTGGTGGACGGGTGGGCCAATTTTCAATTGCCCACTCTCTGCTTCATTAGATCGGTTAGGATAGCAAGCACCACGCGGTACTATACAGTTCATGTACAGCGCGGTCACGTACTTGCCCTCCCACAGAGCGAGATCAAAGCGAGTCCAGGGAGATGATCTACTGTAAGTGTGATATCTCAGCGGGGGTAAGCTTACCAATTTGGGATAGCGTAGCCAGAGTCCGATTTTTGTTTTTCTTATCAAGGGTTTACTAGGCTGTTGGGAGGATGGTCCAAGGTGTTGGGAAGTTTGATTGATCCATTGCCCTGGGATTCCTCGGGTGATCGCTCGGCCTCCTTACAGCGATCGATACGCAAGACGGTGGGATCAGGTGAGTACCCGTGCCGGTGCTCGTCTTCGGCCAAAAGCAACCCCAAAGGGTAGAAGTATATTTCGCACGGGCGCTCGGATTGGTGCAGATATTTCACCGCTTATTTCCTTAGTTCCTGTTTTCGGGTAAGCTACTTATTAGAAATATTATCGGATACAAGCATGAAAGGAATTGGCGGGAGGGACAAGATGCTCTCGGTTAAGGTTAAGTAGAAGAAAGCTAAAGGCGAAGGAAAGAAAGAGAAGAATATTTTCTCTCGGACACCTAATTACTTTCAAGCACCCATTGGCGAACAGCGTACTGTGATTGGACTCTCCCGCCACTGATTAAACACACTCATTCAACAACTCCTACAAAAGGGAAAGGTGAGAAAGTGAAGAAAAAAAGGAATAACAATCCTACTGCGAAAAAACTTGTGAATGACCTTGCCCGTGAAAGTTGTATGATTCCGTCTTTTTTTGTAAATTTCCGTGGTTGATAGCGGACGTGCTTTGTGCATTTGTAGTTTGTAAATGAGCTGACAGTTGAGGGAACGTTAGTTTGATTTGTAGTTTTTTTTTTTTTGTCAAGATGTGGAAGGTAAGGTAACCTACCTAGGGCATTCCGTCACATCTCACTTTTACATCATGGACCGCCCTGGGATTCAGTACGAGCGCTGAGGGTAGGAGCGCCTCGATGAGGAGTAAGTATTGAACATGTGAGAAAATTTGTCGCTTAGCGGTGACTCCAGAACTCCAGTTTTTACTTTTAGGTTTGTGGTTCCATTGACAACATTTCGGTAAATTGAGCATAGGCTCTTCGCACGGGCCTCTGCTACCCCTTGTTGTCCTAATATTTCACCTCTACTCCGAGTACAGGTAGCTGCTAATAAGGATGGTATGGATAGATTTTCTCGTGTTTCGCAGCCAAGATTTGCCTTCCACATTTGTTGAGGTGGGGTTTGCTCATTTTTTGCTGCCGAAGAGGTATTTCATAAGTTACATGATGTCCAGGTATGCATCGGTTATTGGCTCTACGCTACGCTCATGGTATCAGCCATGCCGCCATCTCACCTAGGTGAGGCTAGCTTTTCCGCTAAGTCCCTAGCCACATTTCCATTCTCCCCAAATAATGCAATAGCATCATTACTACAACTGGACTATTCATGATTGGATAGATTGGCTATTGTTGGGAGAAGTTGGATATCAGTAACTTAATTAGTTCTAATTTAATACACCTATCGATATTTTCTAACTAATACTTGTGGTATAGATCGTCCCTCGGCTCTATCGATACCGGTATTGCGTTCTACCGGTATAATTGCTGGCTCATATCTCGTCATTGATGTGCTAGCACTTATTCGGTGGGAACTGCCTTTGTAGTGATTCTAGCAGCAAGTCCACAAAACCCCTAGCATACGAAACAGAGCCAGCGAAAGAGCATCATTTTCTGTATTACTGTCACCCTTCATGTTTCCCTTACTTAACCATGTACACCCATACCGGAGATAATTGCTCAATAAACACGGGGACGTTTTACAGCTTGTTATAACTGAAGCTGAAGGCACTTTTCTCCCGGGCAATGAAGTTCATGCCGTAGCCACTCAATTACCTAGCACTCCGGCCAGGAGACTGGATGTGGTCAAATCCTACTAGTTGGTGCATTGTGCCTGGCTGCATTCGACACAATCTCGAGATCCTCACGTAAGCAAAGTACTTTTCAAGGGGCCTGATGTTATGAGAAGGCTACGAGATAAGAAATGTACTCTTGATCTTGCCAGAAGATGAGATATTAGTTATGCATGAGTGAGAATTTGGAAGGTTAATGAGCGTTGATAAAT